GAAATATGAATTTTTAACTTTAGCAGATTTTGTGCTAATTTTCGCCCTTTATGCTTTGGAAGACGATTTTTTCATTATGAAGCAAAAAATCGTCAAGAGCATTCCGGCTTTCGTTTAAATAGGGTTTTTGAAACACACTGTGGCAATTTCGTTGATTTCGCTTCATTCCTTTCATAGACATGAATTTTGGAACTTTGGCGAATTTTTGGTGTTTTTTCGCTTTCCGCTTTCAAAGTCGATTTTGCCGTACTCAAGTGAAAAATTGGAAAATGCATTTCAGCAGTGAACTAAGGAGTCTTTCAGGAATATGCGTTGGAAGTTGGGCTGTATTTGCATGGTTTTTCGTTTTGTTCTTAAATTTTTAACTTAGGCAATTTTTTTCCCGTTTTGCGCGTTAAACTTCCAAAATCGATTTTCCCATTATCAGAGCAAACTATATTAGCAAGCGGATTTTGGCAAGCGGTTAAACAATATTTTATTAACAGAATTTGACAATTTTATTGAATTAGAATGATTGGTTCGCTGTATAGGAATTTTTCAACTTTGACGATTTTAAGCTCGATTTTAAGCTAAGTCGATTTTTCCATATCCAAGCCAAGCATCAAAACCAGTATCTCAGTAATTTATTAAAAAATATTCTGTTAGTTCAATGTCGAAATTTTAGCGCTTTTGCATGGTTATTTTCGATATAAGTTTTTGGAAGTTGCACACAACTTTTACACAATCAATGCAGATGCAAACAACCATTGAAACTCTTTGAATTCGTTTTTCGTTTGGTATATGAAACGTTGGCTAAATTTTCTAAGCATTTTCTGACATAATTTCCCTAATCTTTAGTAAGAAACTTCAGGCATTTTCTGGCAATAAATCGTAATAAGCGAGCAATCGACATTCATCCATTCATACACATGAACACAAAGCCCGAATCCGATCAATGGTTTTGTTATGTAAGAAAATCACATGGTTGAGCGGTAATATCAAGTCACGCAGATTAAAAAGACGTTCTTCAACCTGACTTCCGTCAACCAGTCTATTCCATTTCCGGATTAGAACTCGGCTGATACGCTGTTATAAAACGTAACATGAATAATAGAACCAAATAGCTGTATGTTCGCTACTGTCTAACGCATACTAATGCATATTTATCCTCGTATTGTCCAAGTTTTATAGAAGTAATTCCCCAATTACCATCACAGTCACCTAAATAGTCGGCTGAACCCCCTTGAAGTCGATCGAAACCTGCATTTTTCCTATTGTGTCATGCCTTTGCTTATTATTCCGTCCGCAGAGGCCCGAAGAAAACTCTGCAGTAAATAAAATTGCATTTTAACTAGACCGCGAGGGAAATAACCAAGTTTGCTCCAAAAGCATTCGCCCTTCCGGCTTTGCGAATTTTTATCCTTGCTCAGTTGAACGTGCAAAGCTAAAGGTAAAGTCTCTTATCTAAAATATGACTCGAAACTGATGAGACACACTCAAGAACGTTAAACCATCTAATGCTCAAAGGTCTCCAACTACTAGCCAAGTTCTTTAAGTCATTATTTCTCTCTTTAGATGCAGGAATAGTCGAAGATGCCGAACAGAGAAACATTGTTTATTTAGGCGGAAACAACCCTTGTATTTGGGGTGGTTGTGTCAAGTCATTAATCCTCGAAACACCTGATAAATTGAAGCGTTTTCTCGGAAATTGCCACTTAAACACAACTTATTAATCGCTAACGACATCGTTCACAATTCCGACTTGGATCAGTTGCAATGCGATTACTGTGAACGCCCTTTCGGCATTCACATCGGCAAAACGATAATGAAATCTTTTGTTTCGATATCGCGAAGAATCCGCCCAATCCAAATCCGCCGTATAAATTTTATGGAACAGATTGGATTTCTTAGGCGGATCGGGCGAACTAAATTGTCAATCAGCGAGCATTGTTATTCTTTATGAGTATCGCAGGGCAAACTGGCAGGATTGCAAGTTAAGAGCCGGCTAATTAATTCGCAAACATTAACGACAGACGTTCATTTATTATCGGCGTTTGTTTATTTATCTCTTTATCGTCTCTTAAGTGAACCCAATCAACTTGGATTCTGGTTGATGTCTTCAGGTAATTTGTGAACTGCAAAATGATTTGCGAACGAGAAACAGTTCTAATTTCGGTGTTCATTTTTGAACATTTTTTGACAGTTTTCTTCTTGCGTTTTGTACGATCCACATTTTTGAACTCAGACGGCTTTTCTATTGTTTTTGCGCTTTCAAAGCCGATGTTTCCAGAATCAGGCCACCAATCAAAACTGAACTTCAGTTATCCGGGAAGATAGTTTCTGTTAACTGATATTGAAAATTTCAGAGCATTCGATTCATTTCTCTTTTCCATATGAATTTTTAATCTTTGGCCATTTTATTCGTGGTTTTTATACCTTGGCGTTTTCAAAGTCAATTTTTGCGTACGGAGGTTCAACATCGGAAACTGTATTAAGCAGCTGATCAAGATGTTTTCGTCTAACACACGGTAAAAATTTGGTAAATTCTCTGAGATTCATCGTTTAGATGTTTAAAATTTTAAATTTTCGTTACTCGGCGCTTTCAAAGTCGATGTTGCTAAAATCTGGCCAAACATTCACAGTTAATTCCAATTTTCGAATACGATGGTTTCTGTTAACGTACATTGAAAATTTCGACGCATTTGATTGATTTTTATTTCGAAGTTTTTAGTAATTTTTTGCGCGTTATTACAGTCAATTTCTTCGCAATGAGGACCAGCATCTGAAAGAGGATTTTAGCATTATATTTTCTCATTTTTCATAGTAAATTTTCTTAGTTCAATATTGAGATGAAGATTTTTGAACTTTGTTGTCTATAGTTGCACTTTGAGCAGCTTTCAAAGTTGAAAATTTCAAAATCAGGCCAAATATGCAAAATTAAATTGCAGTAATCGAATCAAATGGCGTCTGTTCACTTATATTGAAAATTTGGGAGCCGTCGATTTATTCATTTTCTTCATATGAATTTTTGAACTTTTTGAGCCTTTTTTTGCGGTTTTCACACTTTGCGTTTTATAAGTTAATTTCTTTATAATTAGGCTCAAAATCAGATATATGAGGTGATCATCTGATTAAGATATTTTCGGTTAACACAATATTAGAATTTGCGTAAATTCGGATAATTAATAGTTTAGGTAAACATTTTTGAACTTTGACGCTTTTTCTGTTTTTGCACTATACGTTTTCAAAGTCCATATGGCCAAAATTAGGAGAAATGCTCGAAATTGATTTAATTTGTTCAATAAGATGGTTTCTGTTAACTTGCTTAAAAAAATTGGCAAGCAACTTTTGGTTCATTTCTCTTTTTGATATGCATTTTTAGACATTTTTTTGCCACACTGGCTCTTTCAAAGTCAATTTCCTCATAATGAGGTCCAACATCTCAAAGTGGATTTCAGCAGCTGATTAGGATGGTTTTGTCTAATACACGGTGAACATTTGCATAAATTTGTTTAATTCAGCGTTGATTTATGGACTTTTTAACTTCGATGATTTGTCTGTTTTTCCACTGTGCACTTTCCTCTTCGATATTTTAAATAATTGATCAAACTGCCCATTATAAATAAGATGCTTTCTGTTAACTTTCTGTGAAAATTTGGGGGCAATCGCTTCATGCGATTTTTCGATATGAATTGTTGAACTTTCAAATTTTTCGCGGTTTTTGTACTTTGCGTTTTCAAAGTCAATTTTTTCATAACGAGATTTCGAGCAGCTGATTAAGATGTTTTTGTCTGACACGCTGTGAAAAATTGAGTAAATTCGCTTAATTTGTCGTTGTGATAAAGATTTTTGAACTTTGGCGTTTTTTCTGTTTTTGCGCTCTGCACTTTCAAAGTCTATATTTTCAAAATTCAATCACATTTTCGGGATATAAGTTCGCCTATCGAATCGGATGGTTTACTTTAACTGACTGTGAGAATTTGGGATAATTCGCGTCATTCGAATTTTTGAATTTTGCCAATTTTTGAAAAATTTGCACCTTACGTTTTAAAAGTAAATTCCTTTATAACGAGGTCCAATATCGGAAAGTGGATTTGAACATCTGTTTTTGTCGGATTCATCGTGAAAATTTGGGTATGTTCTGTTAATTCACCGGTTCTCATTCAATGACCATTTAAATAAATAAATAAAATCCTTCAAAATACTGCAATTGCGCCTCCAGGCCGATGTTTATAAAAACAGATTCTCCCCCATTTGGGCCATGGGTGGAGGCTCAAACTGAAAACTTGCTTAGTGCCAATAATCAAATTGTCAATAAATAATGTTTTTTATTAATTTAAAAAGTTTTAATACAGTTGCACTTTTCGGTTCTTCAACTCGAGCCCGCATTAGCTTTATTAAAGCATTAAAGCGCACATTTCTCTAAGCAGAACCCCAGCATAAAACTGTATTATTCAGCATTTCGCGGATTTTCAAGTTGAAAAATGCACCTTCGAACCCTTAAAACTTGACTTCACTCCACAGTCACAACCGCCAGAAAATGCATTTTCTGCAGCTTTTAAGCGCCCACCCTAAAGCGCCACACATTCCGGCAAATACCTAACAGAAACGCAAATTTCAGCCACTTTTAACTGCGCGAATTTCCATAAAATATTATGCATGTGTGGATGCAGCGAGTGTATTAAACCACACCAGCTCTGTGCTTCCGCTTGTTTCAATTTGTGCTCGGGCTTAAACGTAACGAATCTGCAAAATACACCCAAAGTTCGGGCGCCAGTTAGTTGATTCTTCACAAGATCGTCTAACAATACCGTTTCGTTCTTCCATAAACTTTCAGTGTTTATCTTTGCATTTAACGCGTTCAAAATGGCAACGAAACACCATTGTGGAACTTCACTAGTTCTGTGTTTAGTTTATTTAGCCGTCGGTAACAAAGTCTTGAGAAACGTGTAATTGAGTTAAAAGACCGCGGAAGTTCGTTTCTTTCATGTGCCAACTAAGGGTTTCTTTGCTTGTTCCAGAATGAAGCTGAAGCTGTTCTTGCTGCTGACGGTGGTCAGTGCCTGTGCGGCCGAATGTCCATCGAAATGCTCCTGCTACCTGGATGTAAAAGGAAGAAAAACCGTTCTGTGCAAAGAAGGAGGAATGGTCGGCCCTGTGGACCTTAACAATATCAGCTTCGACACTGAAGTGATCAAAATCACAGCTCCAGACGACAACATGAACATGCTCACCATGTCGCCGATCTTCCAGCGATACAAAAACCTGGAAGAGATCCATGTGACCAAAAGCAACGTGCCTCAGCTGGGCATGCACTTCTTCTATGGCCTAACCAAGCTGGATGTGCTGAACTTGTCGCAAAACAACATTTCCCAACCGCTCGACCACAATTTCCGAGGTCTGGATAAGCTGAAAGAGCTCTACCTGGACGATAATCGGATCCAGTCTTTGCCCAGCGGCACTTTCCGGCATCTGCATGAATTGAAACTTTTGTCGATACAACGGAATCGAATAACCGACCTCGTGAACAGAATATTCCTCGAAATTGGGAAACTGAAAGCTCTGAAGCTGAGCGGAAACAATTTGAAAGAACTTAATCCGGAGGTTTTCCGCGACGTGCAGGTAATTTTTTAAGTTTCCTTTAAATTGACCATTAGCGTGGAATTTGAAAATCCCTTAACTAATCCGGGGATTTCCACCCGGGGAAATTTTTAATCAAAGCCCCGATTGAGTTCAAGCCTAAATCGCCGAGATAATGGGGACCTTTTAACAATTTGCCTGTTGTGGATTCGGAACATTTAACTTGTTTCCAGCAATATTTCCCCAACTAATATCTCCGGTCGCTCCCAATTAACAACCCATAATCTCAGCTGAAACCGCCTAAGAGACTCCACTCCCTTTAGAACAACCGCAATTTTCCTTTTATGTCAAATTAACAGGATTTGTTTTTGAATTTTGCTTAAAGGGTTACTTCTCACCGCTTATATTTCCATAAAACATTCAGAGGGACAGCTTTAGATGATATTGATGATGAATCATTAATGGAAGTTGGAAAACAATGTCGCTGGAGCCAGTGGGTGGTCAAACGTTGGTTGTTTTGGACCTTTTGAACAACAATTTTTAGAAAATGTGACCCATTTTTCTGGAGAAATCCATTCGATTACTAGACCTGAAGTTGGCCTAGAACTGTGTGCTTTAAAAAATCCTAGACCTTTTCCTCGATCGACCGCAGCCGAATAATAAAGCTTGCGAACGGGATTTTCTTAGAAATTGGAAAGTTGAAAGGACCGACTCTAACGGAAACAATTTGAAAGAACTTAATCCCGAGGTTTTCCGCGGCGTACCGGTAGGGTTTTTTGGTTTGTTTTATTTTTCGTATTTTCTGCCTTCTTTCGTCGCCGATTTAAAATTGCAGCACCAAAACAACGCAAACCTATACAGAGGGTGGTGGAAGATGTAAAGCAAAATTGAGCAAAAATGCCGCTGAGATATAAAAAGAGTAAAAAAGGTGAAATTAAAAAAATCACCGTAACATTGACAAATGTTTCTCAACGGTGCAATCGTAAATCGTTTAAATAGAAATTTTGCCCACGTTTTAACAAGTTTTGCAGAAACGAGACCTTTTGATTATCGCAATCATCGCTTGAAGCTGGTGAGTTTGTCGAGGTTTAAAAGCTATCCAAACAAGGAAATTTAGGAGGATTTGCTCTATTTCAGTTTTTCATATGAATTTTTGGACTCTATCGTGGGTTTTACACTGTGCTTTTTAAGTCATTTTTTTAGAAACGAGGCTCAGAAAATCTGGATTGAGCAACTGATTAAACTATTTTTTGCTAATGCACCATCAAAATTTGGGAGAATTTGCTTAATTCATCATTGAGATACGAATTTTTGAACTTCGTCGCTTTTCCGTTTCTGCACCTTGCGCTTTCTAAGTGGATATTTGCAAAATCGGGTCAAATTTTTGCAATGAAGTTTTAACTATCGAATAAGATGGTTTCTGTTAACTCACTGTGTAAATTTGGGAGCATTCGCTTCATCTCTCATTTCGATCTGAATTTTTTATCTTAGGTGATTTTTTCCCGTTATTTACGCTTTTTGGTTTCAAAGTGAGTTTCTTCATAACGAGGTTCAACATCGAAAATGGGATTTAAGCAGATTATTGACATGTTTTTGACTAATCCACTGTAAAAATTTGCGTTATTTGTCGTTGAGATAAAAGTTGTCGATATTTTTTTCCGTTTTTTGCACTTTGTAATTCGGTATTTGCAAAATTAGTTAAAATTTCGGTTATCGAATTTTATTTATGATATAAGATGGTTCTTTTGAACGTTCTGTAAAAAATTGGGAGCAATCGCTTCTTGCCTTTTTTCGATATGATTTTTCAACTTATCCAGTTTTTTACTTTGCGTTTTCGAAGTATTTTTTTTTCTAACAAAGCTCACCATTGGAAAGAAGATGTGAACAGCTGATTAAGATATTTTTGTCAAATACAGTGTGAAAACTTGAGCAAATTCGCTTAATTCGTCGTTGAGATACACATTTTTGAACTTTGGTGCTTCTTCTCTTTTTGCACTTCACGCTTTCAAAGTTTGTATTTCCAAAATTAAGCGAAATATTTGAAATTTATTTCATTTTGTCAATAAGCTGGTTTCTGTTAGCTTACTTTAAAAATTTATCAGTCTTTGAGTCATTTCTCTTTTTGATATGAATTTTTGAACTTTCCCATTTTTTTGCAGTTTTCACACTGGCGCTTTCAAAGTAAATTTCCTCACAATGAGATCCAACATCGCAAAGTGGATTTCAGAAACTGATTAGGATGGTTTTGTCTAATACACGGTGAAAGTTTCCATACATTTGTTTAATTCAGCCTTGATATATATATTTTTGAACTTCGACGATTTTTCTGTTTTTGCACAATGCACTTTCTAAGTAGACATTTTCAAAATCAGGCAAAACTCGCTATTTAAGTCTTTTTTTTTAGCACACAGTAAAAATCTAAGGGAACTTCAAAAGTTTTAAGAAGGTATTTCTTAGTCCGTCTTCAGTCGCTTTATTCTTCTTTTCAAAAAGATTTCTTGAACAACAAATTTTTTCGGGGTTTTTGCACTTGGCGCTTTGTAAGTCGATATTTCAAAAATCGAGCCAACTGTCCGAAAGTGAATTTCCCCTATGCAATAATATGTTTTCTGTAAACTCATGGTAAAATTTTGGGAGAATTCTTTTCATTCCGTTGTCCGATATGAATTTTTGAACATTGCCAATTTTATGGCGTTTTTTACACTGCGTTTTCTAAGTCAATATCTTCATAACGAAACATCGATTGTTGTCGATTATTAAGATGTCTTTGTTTAACACGCTGTTAAAACTTGAAAAATCCTCTTAATTCATCGTTAAAATATAATTTTTTAATTAAAAAACATAACACACTGTAAAATCCAGTAAATTCGCTGCGTTTTTTGCGGTACGGATTTTTCAACTTTAATTTCGAAGCAGACTTTCTTGAAAGTGACGAGATTTTCGGTCTGTTCCTTTCTGACGTTTCCTTAGGAAGAGTGGCTTGCATCTTCAGATACGGTTTGCTCTGCGCAGCAACCTCATCTGAGGAAAACGCCAAATTTAACTTTGGCAACATGTAATTTTAAGTGCGTTGAACATCAGAGCCCAAACTACACCCAAGCAACTCCAACTCACAAATTCACACAGCTAAATTGTTTCAGGAGCTGCGCCAACTTGAGTGCAGAGGCTGCGCCTTGAAGCGAATCAGCAAAGACACCTACCCGCTGTTGCCACATTTATCCTTCCTGGACATCGGAGAGAACGAAATCAAAGCGATTCATGCGGACGACCTCAAAGTGCTAACCAGCCTCAAATACCTAAAACTCGATGGCAACCACATAGCGGGTTTACATGACAACACCTTTGCCAACCAGCCCTTGCTGAAGAAGCTAAACTTGGCTCGCAACCAGATCGCAAAAATTACTCCCAATGCCTTTGTGGAACTCTACAATTTAACCGAACTGGACCTCAGCTTCAACAGGCTGGAGAAGATCCATGAGGGGGCTTTCGAGGCGATCGCGCCCACCTTGGAGGTGCTGAGCTTGAGTGGCAATTTGATAAAAGCGCACACCCTCAAAGAGCTCACCAGTCTGCAAGTGCTGAGGGAAGTGAAGCTGGCCAATTGTGGCATCCTGGAACTGGAGGCGCAGATATTTCCCGACAACTTGGAGGTTCTGGACTTGAGCGGCAATCACATAGCGGTGTTGAGTGCGGAGCTTTTGCCTAAATCGCTGCGTCAGTTGGATCTATCGAAGAACCGAATTCGGGGCATCGATGAGTACGATTTGCAGAAGCTGGATCACTTGAGGTTCTTGAATCTGCAGCAAAACCCCTGGTCTTGCGACTTGTGCCATATAGTGCCATTGTTGGAAAGGGCCAATCGCAGTGCCACCTTCAGTGAAATCACCTGCGCGGCCCCCTATACGGAACGCGGAAAAACGTTGGGGATGTTGGAGAAGAGCGATTTGACCTGGTGCACAGCTGCCAGCTACAGCAAAGGAGACGCGGACTTTTTCTTAGTTTCAACGGACGGCAACATTGGAATCATCGCCGCCAGCATGTCGGTTTGTCTTCTATTCATCACAATTCTGGCGATCATCGGAGCCTTGTGGTACTCCCGAAGGCATGCAGCAAGGTATTACACGCATGAGGATAAACTGGCGGTTGAAGGCGAGACCATTTTCGACACCAATCACAGTCCGCTGTTTTGCGATGGTGAGCTGAGCTTCAAGTTTCCTCTGGATGGGGAAAAGAAGATTTCGATATCCACGATCGAGGACGTGAAGAAAGAACATTCGATTGCGAACGGCACGTGAAAAGTTGCCGGCTGTAGCAGGCCGATGTGTCCTGGATGAGGATGAGGAGCGCATCGTGTGTAAGACTTTGAGGAGCAACGACAGACCTAAATGAATTATTCAATTACATTTTATACACCTGCACTGTTCATTGGTACCCGATGTCTTCTAAATGGTTCTTCCATACTGGCGGGGTGATTCGCATGGAAATGTTCATGATTGTGAATAGGCCAGATGGTTCAATCTGGAAGTTTTTTCATATTCAATTGAGGCTGGGAATTTTGGCGGGTTCTTCTTCAGATTCCCGGGGGTTTTACCAATTTGCCGAATTTTTGTCAAGAAAATTCAGGTTTAGACCAAATGTGACAGCAGATTGCTTCGATCTGAGGCTGAAAATGTTTGGTGAAATTGGTCAGTTCAGGGAAATCTGAAGAGTCCAGAAAAATGTCCTAATTTTGATTTTTGGCCGAAAATTTTATAAAAGTGGAGGATTTTTTTTGACAAAATACCAATTTTCTTAAAATGTGTCGTATTCTACATCCGTTTAATCTCAAGGAGGCGAAGAATGTAACGGGCTCGTTGATAAACACACTAGAATTTCAGTTCTGAAATATTCGACATTTTAACCACATTTTAATCGTTTTTTGAGCTTTTACGATCCTTAACCAGCGATTTTGCCCTTATTTTTTACTTGAGTTGGGGACTGTTTTTTCGAAAAATATATATTTTTTCAAAATGCCTTGAATTCTACATAGTTTCATCTCGTGGACGTAAAGAATGCAACGAACTCATTGAAAAACACGCTAGAATTTTCAGTCCCGAAATTATCGACATTTTACGCACATTTTAAGCGTTTTTGGAGCGTTCACGATTCTTAAGAGACGATTTGTTCGTAATTTTTGAGGCAAACGGTTTACAAGTGTAGATTGGCACGCTTCTTACGTCCAAAGGAATCGATTGAGTTGAAAAAACGTATGTAAAATTTTGATTTTTGACCAAAAAGTCTCTTCTATGAATTGTTGAAAAAATTATATATTTTTTCGAAACGCCTTCAATTCTACGCGTTTCATCGCAAGGAAGCGAAGAATGCAAATAACTCATTGAAAAACAGACTAGAATTTTTGGTTCCGAAATAATCGACATTTTACGCATATTTTTAGCATTCACGAACCTCAGCAGACGATTTCGTCCTTATTTTTGATCCAAACACTTTAGAAATGTACATTTGCGCGCTTCTTACCTCTAAAGGAATCGATTGAGCTGAAAAAACACGCTTGATTTTTTTTGAACGAAAATTTTCTAAAGGTTGAGGACGATTTTTTCGAAAAATATATTTTTTTCCAAAATGCCTTGAATTCTACATAGTTTCATCTCGTGGACGCAAACAATGCAACGGACTTATTGAAAAACACGCTAGAATTTTCAGTCCCGAAATTATCGACATATTACGCACATTTTAAGCGTTTTTTGAGCGTTCACGATTCTTAAGAGACGATTTGTTCTTCATTTTTGAGCCAAACACTTTGCAAGTGTAGATTTGCGCGCTTCTGACGTCTAAAGAAATTGAATGAGTTGAAAAAACGTATGTAAAATTTTGATTTTTGACCAAAACGTTTCTTAAGAGGGAGCTGAAGTTTTGAAAAATTACATATTTTTTTAAAACGCCTTCAATTCTACATTAGTTGCATCGCAAGGAAGCGAAGAATGCAAAGAACTCATTGAAAAACAGACTAGAATTTTCTGTTCCGAAATAATCGACATTTTACGCACATTTTTAGCATTCACGATCTTTAACAGACGATTTCGTCCTTATTTTTAATCCAAACACTTTACAAATGTACATTTGCGCGCTTCTTACGTCTAAAGGAATCGATTGAGTTGCAAAAACACATATGTAAAATTTTGATTTTTACCAAAAGTTTTCTTAAGTGGTACAAAATTTTTTGAAAAAATTACATAGTTTTTCAAAACACCTTCAATTCTACACCAGTTGCATCGCAAGGAGGCGAAGAATGCAAATAACTCATCGAAAAACAGACTAGAATTTTCGGTTCTGAAATAATCGACATTTTACGCACATTTTTAGCATTCACGATCCTTAACAGACGATTTCGTCTTTAATTTTACGTTTGTTGTTTACAAACTTATTGGAAAATACACTAGGATTGTTGGAACAAACAAATCATGCGAATCACCCTGTATATATGAGTAATATTTTGTTACAAATCTACGCTTTTGGTGCTTGAAATTTCATATATTTATTGTATATAATAATTTAAATTTAATTTATCAATAAACGACGCCCTCGAATCGAGTTAACACGGTCTTGGGACTTTCGCATATACAAAGATGACGTTCAGTAATAAGATTTATAAATATTTATATTTGTACATACTTGATATTCCATGTCTTCTATATCTTAGCTTTAAGGTTACGCGCATATACCGGGTGTTTCTGTGTTCAAGTTCATCAAGCACTTCTTTGCTTAAAAGGACTTTTTCCCGTTGTTTTTAAGCTCTTGATAGTGATGTTTTTTTTGGTTGAAAAAATACTTGACAGTCTTGAAACATCAAGAAATATGTACGTTTTTGTGCATGAGGAGCAATGTAACATTTGGAGCAGAAAAATGAAATTTGCGTATTTATGAAATGTGGATTTTTGCTCTTTTTTGAGCCAAACCTGAGAAACGCCCGGTGTTTCGGCAAATTAAGAACTCCATGATATTTATTAAAGATTTCGGACCAAGGATTATTTAATTAATTGTAAGTAATTTTAATTGCCAAAAAGCTACGAATTTTATTGTTAATTGTGCATCGAACACAGTCAATTTTTATAATTAATAAGTGGTGGTGTTTGACGAGATGGGCTTAAATTGTTTCATTGTGAATTCGCAGTTATTAAAAAATCGACTTCTGATCTGAAAAATCTGGAATTAATAAATTGCAAGCTGATCTCAACAAACTCCCAGTTTTGCAGAATGTTTGTATTTTTTCATATAGCAGATTTTCTACAAACGGCGACATTGTACTTTAGCGTGTATGTGTTTCAAACTGATATAATTCATGTACAAATTCGCCTTTAATTCGCAGTAAAAATAAATGTATTTTGTTTGTAGCTCTGTCGTATTGTTTATTGGGTTCCCAGCCAACTGAAGGAATAGATTTAAAACGCATTAAATCCGCCGGTCGGCTGAATGTATCGTTATTTCATTCACGGTTCTATGATTTATTTTTCAATTTTTCCAAGCAACGCTGGGACTTGGCGATGGAAACTTTTACATTGTCGTTTTTATTGCATACTGCACTGAATACAAAACGGCACAACGATAAAACGACAAAAGGTGCAACGAAATTCCCGACATCCAAGAACACTGACAACGTCTTATGGATTTATTATTATGGAAGAGTTGTCTAGTAACTTGATGGAAAGATTATTTCCGAACAGTAACTGCACTAATTTCAGTCACGTTTATTGCAAATTGTTAGGGTCTCCTGATTTATTATGACCGAATTCTTTGCTTCGAGGTTGGCTGATGTTATTTGGAGGACTCTATTCATTTTCCTTGGAATTTATTTCAATTGTCCTTCTTTGGGATTTTTACTGTTTTAATTAAAGAGCGTCTAATTGCAAATGTGCCATTTCTCACGTCTTTTTGTTAATCTATTTTATCATACACAATATTCCTGGGTTTCAGTCATTTATTTCG